TGAACCCAGGAGGTGGAGCTTGCAGTGAGCCGAGATGGCGCCACTGCACTCCAGCCTGGGCGACAGAGGAGACTCCATCTCAAAAAAAAAAAAAAAAGAAAGAAAAGAAACATTCTAAGGCTTTTAAAACATACTAAAATATTACTTACAAAAAATATATTTAACAAACTGCACTCCCTCAAGTAGCATTTGAGGACACGTGTTTTCACAGCCCCCTTGCCAAACTGGGTACAGTAGTCACTTTTAAAAATCTTTAAATAAAGGATAGGGAAAAAAATACCTAATTTGCATTTCTCTGTGAGGCTGAGAATATTTGTTTGCTGCTTATCTGTATTTCTCTTTAGGAAGATTATGTTCCTCCCCTTTGTCCATTTCCCTATTGAGATTTTATTTTAATGTTACCCCTTGATCTACGTGACTTCTTTGGGGTTTTAATTCTTTGCCCTCTTTGTTATTCGGTTTCCTCATAGCTTGTCTTTTAATTTTGTTTCTGATTTATGATATTCAGATAAAAAACAACGCTGTGTCAAAGTTGTTAATTTTCGCCTTCCATTGCTTTTATTTGCTCACAAGGTCCTTACAATTGCTGACATAAATAAATACGTAATTTTATTTATTATTTTCCTTAGGCTTTATTTGTTTATTACATTAACTTTTGAAATCATTAGTATACTTTTGGTATAGAAAGAGGGGTCAACATACACTTCTGATACTATTTACCTGATAGTCAATCATTAATTGAAAAATCGTTCCCTCATTTTCCTCTGGTTTATGAATCAATCCTTGTTCTATACTAAGTCTCACAATATACCACAATCTGTTTTCACTAATTAGCCTGTGGATGGTCTGTGGATTTATATTTTGAGGCTGGCTGTAGTAACTCACACCTGTAATCCCAACATTTTAGGAAGCCAAGGCAGCAGGATCACTTGAGGCCAGGAGTTGGGGACCAGCCTGGACAACCTAGTGAGGCCCCATCTCTACAAAAAAAATAAAAAATAAAAAAATACAGAAATTATCTGTGCATGGTGGTGAGTGCCTGTAGTCCCAGCTACTCAGGAGGCTGTGTAGGGAGAATGGCCTGAGCTCAGGAGATTGAGGTTGCAGTGATCCAAGATCACACCACTGTACTCCAACCTGAGTGACAGAGCAAGCCTTCCTCTCAGAAAAATAAATATATACATACACACACACACATACATATATATAGATAGATACACATTACATTTTGAATTTAGGAAAATCTATTTTCTCTATTTCTTGTTCTTTAAAAATACGGCCAGGCGTGGTGGCTCACGCCTGTAATCCCAGCACTTTGGGAGGCCGAGGCGGGTGGATCATAAGGTCAGGAGATTGAGACCATCTTGGCTAACATGGTGAAACCCCATCTCTACTAAAAATACAAAAATTAGCTGGGCATGGTGGGAGGCTGAGGCAGGAGAATGACTTGAACTCAGGAGGTGGAGTTTGCAGTGAGCCGAGATCCTGCCACTGCACTCTGGCCAGGTTACAGAGGGAGACTCCGTCTCTTAAAAAAAAAAAAAAAAAAAAAAAAAAAAAAAAAAAAAAAAAATCCTTCTGTCAAGTTGTTTTTTTTTTTTTTAAATTAAATTGCTTTATAATTTCTAAGTACTGGTACCACAAATGTTTCTTGAAGAACTGGAATAACAAAATTACAAAGAAACAAACGTGTCCCCCACTTTCAACACCTCCCTTTTCTGGGATCATTATTGTCTTTTTTTTATTTTTTTTATTTTTATTTATTTATTTATTTTTTCTGAGCATGTACTTTCAGGATTTCTATCACAAATAGTTTGGTAATTGTGCACCTATTGTTCCTTGAGAAGAAAACAGAAATGTGTCAGAGCATGGTCTATTTTCACAACATAGAAAACTATTTGATGCAGTTTATTATAGGATTACAATTTTTTTTTAATCCAAGAAATATAATTTTAATTTCTTTCACATTTAAATGTCTAATCTTTTGAGACATATAAAAATAAACTATTGAAACAGCTAGGGTCACACACAAGCCTTTACACTGCCGCTCAGATCTATTAAATGGCATCTTATCTAACTTGAAACAAAATCCAGTAACTACTATGACATAAAGATACTCCTTGTAGTATGTCAGTCACTCTGAAGTATTTTGCTTTTTAAAATTTCCTAACGATGAAGTATTTTTCTTACTCCAAACACATTATGAAGCACTATGCCATTTAATTTTTAAATTCATTTCTGTATTTATTCAACAGTATCTTCGTGATAGGAGGTGCTCAGTAAACATTTGTTGAATAGGAGAATGACTGAAACATACTACTTAAATAGAGTGCTGTACAAAATGGCACATTATTAATAACTACGTTGGAATTTTTAGAAGTGGCTGATGCAGGAACAAATGTAAGCCTTTTATTCACAGCAAAGCTTGAGAGATGAATAGCAGGCACATGTGATGTGTGATTTATTCATACACACTAGTAGGAGATTTATAGGCATCTATTAACCTACTCGAGTTCCAATTTTGTCTTAGGCTAGTCTTTTGTCATGATTAGCTATGTTGTGAGTCTATGTTAAATAACAGGCTGTCTGTACTGAAATATGCATGAAATATGAAGACAGAAGGCCAAAATTATTAAATATGTACATCATTTCATTTCAACTATAGATATATATCTGCTTATGTGTGTTACAAAAATTAGAGATGTACATGCATATGCATAAAAGCAAAGGATTTTTCTTTTATGGACATGAGATTCATTGTTATGGACTGAATTTATCTACAAAAATTAAAATCCCTACATGAAGTAAACTCCAGTTCCTCAGAATGTGATCATATTTGGAGAAAGGTCTTTACAGAAGTAATGAAGTTAAAATAAGGTCATGAGGATGTGCTCCAATCTAATATGGCTGATGTCCTTAGAGGAAATTTGGAACACACACACCTACAGAGGAAACATGATGAGAAGATACATCTCCTCGACCATCTACAGGCCAAGGAGAGACGCCTGAAAAGGAATCAACTCCGAACACAAACACCTACAGAGGAAACATGATAAGATACATCTCCTTGACCGTCTATAAGCCAAGGAGAGAGGACTCAAAAGGAATCAACTCTGCTGACACCTTTATGTTGGACTTCTGACCTCCGGGACTGTGAGAAAATAAATTTCCATAGTGAAGCCACCCAGTCTGTAGCACAATGTTACCGCAGTCCTAGCAAATTAACACACTCATGAAGTAATGAAATATACAGCATGGTCAAACGACGGAAAAGAAGAATTACTTTGTTCTCCCAATAGTCTCAGTTTTGGAAAAGATGAATCATCTCAGCCTGCATACTGTGGTGGGACCTGATCCAATTCTTCCTCCGGGGAAAACACCATCAAAGAAAACTACTGCTTTAGCCAGTGCTTCTGATTCATCTCTTCTTCAAATGATTACAAATTCAAACATAATTGATTGCATTGCCCACTTCCAAATGATAATCTCATTAGATTGACCAAGGTAACTGTAACATGGTTGAGGATGTAAAAGGGCTTGCATGCACATCACACTTTGAAGGAGTAGTGCATTCCTGGATTTTCCCTTAAGGTCTTAATATCACTTGTGTGCTTCGTGTCCATACGTGCACAGTCACAAAAAAATATGAGAGAGGAGTAGTATGGAGAGAAACAATCCCCACTCCCCTTCTTCCCCAACCCAGGTTTGCAGAGCATAGGAATAGGGTGCAAATTTTGCAACTCGGGTAAATGCAGTGGCACTGCCAAAGTCATATATGAACACCACATGTCAGGGGTGAGGAAAGGTCACAGTTCTATTTGTCCTGACACAGGACATACGGTAACTTTTACAGAGCCCTCCTACCATATCATGTATCTGTTCTTCCAAACCTGTGCCATTGCTCAGTGTGGCAATACATCATCCCTGTGGACTAAACCTGGCTCTTGGATCCAGGCAGCTTCTGCCGGCATGGTATGTTCTAAGTTTGTAACTATACGATACATTTCTCTACATCATCTTAGTGAAACAACATGGGAATCGAGTTTTATTATAACAGCAATAGACAAAAGTCATAATTTTCCATGCCTCATGATTTCGAATAATTACTTTAATGACTGTGTCATATGAGAAAAGCAAATAAAGAGAAGAAAAGGGGTGTGGATATCTATGATCACCGATGCATATCCAATTGCCAAGAAAAACAAATTACCAGGGTAATACTTGAAGTGAAAACTTGGTAAGAGATATTTTTCAGATGTTAATTTGATTCTTCTATGGAGTCTTAAAGCTGCAGTGTCTATAAGTGCACTCTTTATCCCCCTTTGTTTTTACTTTTAGCAGTTACATAACTTATGTCTCTAAAAACCAATTAAACACCTTCCTGATCTCTACTGGGAGTTTTCCCCAAGTAGTTCTCTACTTAGACTATAACAGGACTGCTATTTCATTTACAACTTCTTGCTGGAGAGTGTTTCATCAGAGGTGTTAAGAGAAAGTATTGAAATTAATAAAGGAGGGCAGAAACAAAATAAAATGCAGTTTTCTCTGGACACAGTTAAAGTCTCTGGGGTTTGTTCACAAATAAACACGGAGATTCTAGATCTTAGATGAGCAGTTTGCTTCTCCTGCCACAGTCAGCAGGTTCTCAAGAACCGATTATTTCTGAGTCCTAGGATATATGCCTAAGTTCCACATCATAAATATACTCTGCTAAAGTGTGTAAATAATTATTTCCATTAACTTTGCAGATCTAAAGGTACATCTTCGTTTGCTTAGTCAGGTAAAACTTAAACCATGACTACTTTGTTTCCGTCTTGTCTTCTTCAACTGTTAAAGAGACAGCAGCCTTGCCCTTTCCAAATTAAAACTCCCAATTCTGCTATTCAAACGGTGGGACTGTGTGTATCCCGGACATGACACATTACAAATGCTGCCAGCACCCTCCACCCCCAGGCCTTACAGAGAGCCTGCCCTTTCCACCAGTGTCCTCAGTGGCTTACCGACAGTGTTTATGGGATCCGGTCAGGGTTTCGATCACAAAGCACTCGCCATCGTTGAGACAGTATGCGAGGTCCTTGTCTCGGCAGGGTTTGAAATGCTCGGATCGCTCTGTGGAATATGTCGTCGTATCTGTCAGGGAAAGCACAGAGGGAAATGCTGTCAGCAGTACATTCTGACACCAACAACTCCTGCCACTGGCCCTGGATCTCTGTACGGAGGCCTTCTCATGGGCTCTGACCTCTGGGACTCTAGACAGACAGCTCCAACCCTCCATGGTACTGACCAAATGCAGCTGGCTGTAACCACTGTATTCAATTGTCTTATTTCTCCACTAAATTTTAACTATTGGAGTCACTCTGGAGAAGCCCCATTTGAGGACACGTAAACACTAAAAGCTCAACGATCCTGAGTCAAACACACCCCAAATCCACCCTCGTTAATTTTAGTTTTAACAAACATGTTGTATGAAGGATTGAAACAACATTCCCTTCCCTTTATTGCTGCCAAATATAATTAAACATCTGATCAATGTATATTGTGACTCTTCTGTGGAATCCAATGTCAGTTTGGGGGATTTTTTTTTAGTTACAGCTATAATTGGCTAATAGCTAAGCCAATTATTCTTTCACTTTCTCCTTTTATTATGTAATTAAAATGCAAATGCTCTAAATCCTGAACCAGATTCTCAAATATGAAGAATGTTTCTGGTAAATATTTAACAGGACCAATTATTGTCATTTTTTAGCATTATCTTAAACATGCATTTTTAAAATCGTAATTACATACATTTTCAAATTAAGTTATACATCAATATCTGCATCCCAAATACGAGACTAACCATAAATATGTGCTATCTACAAGATACAGACTCTATTACCACATGTAGACATTATTCTAATTACAGAGCTTTAAGCAACTAACTATTAGCACCAATTCCACCATAACATTCAACAAAAAATATACTTAAAAAGTCAAAGAAGAAAAAATTATTCAGCGCTTAAGCTTTTAATTTCCTTTACAGATATTTAGATTAATAATAATATTCAACAGCACAGGATATTATACCAGCTTATTAACCGCCCTTGTTTGAATGTGTCTCCTAAATTCCATGTGTTGGAAACGTAATCCTTAAATTTTTATGTTGATGATATTTGAAGATGGGGCCTTTGGGAGGTAATTAGGAATAGATAAAGTCATCACGGTGAGGCCCCCATGATGGAACTGTTGGCTGTTTAAGAAGAGAAAGAAGGACTGAGCTGACATTCTCTTGCCCCCATCCATGCGATGCCCTGCACTGCCTCAGGGCTTGCAGAGAGTCCTCACCAGCAAGAATGCCCTCAGCAGATGCAGCCCCTTGACCTTGGACTGCCCAGACTCCAAAACTGCAAGAAATAAATGTATTTTCTTTGTAAATTGCCCAGCTTCAGGTATTCAGTTAAAGCAACAGAAAATGAACTAAGACAGTAAATGAAGGTCACAATGAGCTTCTTCCCTGATTATCGTCACAACTGATGGTGAGTGATCATTTTAAAAGGAAACTCATCCCTATCTCTCCCACATCTAAAAATCCTCATGGGGCTCTCCTGTGGGAATAACTTTAAAATCCATAGTAGGGCAAACCAAGGCATGGGCCATCTATATGTTTATCTGTCTGATGGTCTCTTCTTGCATTCTAAAACTTTATGCAACTTAATTTTCAACTATCATTCTATTTTCTCAAAATACCAAGAACTGTCACACTGCTCCTTCTTCCCAGACCTTCATTCTTTGTTGAGGACACCCAGAAATCCTCAGAATTTAGATGATCTCATCATGTGCCTCCCAGTGCCTCTTATCACTTTCCTCACTGCATTCAAAACTGCAAGTAATTCTTTCTTTGTTTTATCAGTTCTTTTCCTATGTAATGTCCTTGAGGGCCAGCATGGAGGCTTGATAAGAATTGGTGCTCATAAAAATATCTTCAAAATATCTGATCTCTCTAACATCAATAATTAAATGCTAGAAATGAAAGCTGTAATTAAAAACCTCATTACAATTTTACAAAAGTTAATGCATTTTGTACAGCAAAAAGTGAAATATAATTTAACATTTATGTTACCATTTTAGTATACTTTTTGTAATATTGATAAAGATTGCAAAAGCAAGGCCTTCAGATTCACACAGATCCTCACACATATGTTACTCGTATTCCATGAGCACTGAAATAAACCACTATTGGTGTTGCAATGGGAACTTATGTTTTCCACTTCAAAATATCTGCTTGTTAATACTTTGGCACAAAATAAAGGCTCTGCAAAACACACACATTTTCCATCTTGCAGGAGATTCTCTACAGTAAGGATCTGTTATTCAAGACAGTATGTGATAAACAGTCACACAGAATCAATCTCTCTATGGGAAATATTTAAAATTCAAGAGCTCCGAGCAAAAAATTCAATACGAAACCGTGCACAGTTGACTGCTACTCTGGCTGCTGAAGTATATTAACTCATGATCAGTTAGTTAACTTTTCCTTTAATTTCTTATTATCCATTTATTGATATTCACTGATCATGCTTCTAAGAACAGCTTTTCATTAACATAATCTACAGCATAAAAAGTGAGATCCTTATTTTATAATCAGTGGTTTTAACAAGCTACAGACTTCAAGTGCAATACAATGGCAAACCAATTACAATCAATTAATTTCCATCTGACAACTGCTGTCTCTAGTGGTTACCGCCCCATTCTACCAACCGATTTCTCCATCATGTTATCATCTATCAGCACATTACAGAGGATCAGAGACCCAAGTAAATGGCTCTGCAAAAGTCTGGGGTGGGAAAGCTCAGATATCAGGCTTAACATGTACTGAGGCTTTCCGTTTCCACAGCTTAAAGAATCCCCAAATTAATTTAAAATACTCATGCTTAACCTTCACAATGACTTTACTGAATTCAAAGAAAACACCATTATTATAACTTTTAAATGACAATATAATGAACAATAACAAAACATTGGGTATGATCATTCTTTAAGTAAATAACTGCAATTATCAATACATTTGAAACCTTAAAATGTACCTAAGCATTTTACTATATGTTATCTATATAGTATTATCACCTGAAATCACAGAGGCATTGGGTAGGGTAAGTGTAATTCATCATCAGGTGAAATTTTATTCTTGAAAGTCATGCAAAAGATGTGTATGGAAATATAGGCAAATTCTGGACCCTTAATAAAATCAGAAGGTTGCTATGCTAACTCTAAGACCACCTACCTAGATTTTTGTTGAATGAATAATAAGCATACTATGTCTAAGTCACTCTTATTCAGGTTTTCTATTACTTACAGCCAAACAAAGCCTAATAAAGAGATGCTAATAATTTTGGATGATATCTTCCTACATTGGTACATCTGATTAAAGTGCATGTATGTATTCATACATCTATTTAATTTTCAACATATAAGATATACTACAAAACACATAAAATACAACATAAATAAGAATGAGCCAAAAAAAAAGCCTCTAAGGTGCAATTCATTATTTTCCTTCTGTGCCCTAAGGTGGCATAGTGTGCTCTAATGTATCCAGCTGAGTGTTTTATTCTGAAGAAGGAACATGGAACATTTGTGAGAAAGAGAACGTGGATAAGATCTAATGCCAAACTATAAAAGTTATGACCCTAAACAACCTTGGTGTATCTCTGTAATCAGATATAAAACTCTCATCTGTGAGCAAATTCAATACTTTCGGAAGCTTGTTTATATTTTTTAAAGCTATGCCACTTTTAAGACAGTCCAATACACTAAGCTGGCTATATACTATATGGTACTATTTTGGCATGTACTTAATCAAACTTCTGTTTCTAGGAATGTAATTTGGTAAATAATTTGTTATAGAGCTATTGCCTTCAAAACAATTATATGGATGAAGATTCCTGTAAGTAAACAAGAGGGGCCTAATGTTCCTGTGAATTCCAATTTGTATTTCAAGGCTTTCTTTATGTTGCCTTATTCCAGAGTGGGCCCTGCTATCAGACGTCATTCTCTCCACGTTCATCAGCTTCTGAAGCTCCCATATGACTGGACCATGAGCTTGCTTCCATGGAGCAGAGAAGTCTTCACATCTTTAATCCACGGGCTTATGGAAGGCTTGACACAGAGAGGCACAGAATAGGTATTTATCTATATAGTATTACATAGATAGAAACTTTGGCCGGGCGTGGTGGCTCACACTCATAATCCCAGCACTTTGGGAGGCCAAGGTGGGTGGATCACCTGAGGTCAGGAGTTCCAGACCAGCCTGGCCAACACGGTGAAACCCTGTCTCTACTAAAAATACAAAAAATTAGCCAGGCATGATGGCAGGTACCTGTATTCCCAGCTCCTTCAAGGCTGAGGCAGGAGAATCACTTGAACCCATGAGGTGGAGGTTGCAGTGGGCCGAGACTGCACCATTGCACTCCGGCCCGGGCAACAAGAGGGAAACTCCGTCTTAAAAAAAAAAAAAAAAAAAAAAAAAAAAGAGGACAACTTTTTCTATATAGCCTTTTTCTACTTGTTGGTGTTAAAAAGTGGTATCATAGGCCGGGCACTCTGGCTCACATCTGTATCTCAGAACTACAGGGACCAAGGTAGGAGGATCACTTGAATCCAGGAGTCTGTGACCAGCCAGGACAACATAGGGGGACCCCATCTATACAAATAGCAATAATAATAATAAATTAGTCGAGCATGGTGGCACATGCCTGTGACCCCAGCTACTCAGAAGGCTGAGGTGGGAGGATCACCTGAGCCCAGGAGGTCGAGGTTGCAGTGAACTGGTATTGTGCCACTGCACCCCAGCCTGTTTGAGGCAGGGCTGAGTGAGGCCCTGTCTCAAAACAGAAAAAAAAAAAAAAAAAGGGTTATAGTGAACAAAAACTCTCTTTTAAAAATATCTGGGAAGCGAATTAAGTTAGGATATAAGAAGGGCTCCAAAACAACTTAGGGAAAGAGCATAGAATTTCATTAAAGGAGGGAAAAATCAGCTCAGCAGCATGGAGGACAAAGGAGGAGAAGACAAAGCAAAACAATTGGAAAGGATTTTCCAGAAAAGAGGGACAGGAAGAATAAAGGAGTGTTAGGATTAAGATGAGCAGAGATGG